CTGGTCAGTCTAGTTCACTAGTAGAGTCATTGTTTATAGACCTACCTTTAATTGCACGTGCTTTTTGTTTCATGTGGTGTTATCTATGAATCCTACACAGAATATAATGCTTCTACTTAAAATTAACATTGAGACATTTAAACTGGACTCTCACTACTGTCACATCAGGCTATAGGCATGTGATTAAGTAATTTCTCTTAAATTAGACTTCACAAAAGAAACCTCTAACTGACCCGCTTTTCCTTCTGCTCCATACTGGTTGCACATTAAAACTCATTATTTCAAACCATCCTGACAGACATTTGTGCTGATAGTCACAGTCCATTCTAGCTAAGAGTTCTGTACACATCCAAATGTGCATGACTTGTTTCTAGTCTGAACCTGCCTCTGTTTAACTTCTAAGTGTTGCTTCGAGTTATGACTTTCTCTGCTATATTAAAGAGCAATTGTTGGAAAGTTTCAATTTTGCAAGAGTGATTTCCTTTTAAAGACCAATAGTTTTCTCTGGACCCTGTAGAGCCTTGCAGATAAATAACCTTGGATTTAAATAAGCAGAACACTAGAACCCTCTAAAATGGTTCTACATATGGTGAAAACAACCACAGTGTTAGGTCTGTCTGCACCCAGTCTTCATGAGCCTTAAACTGCCCATGACATTTATATTAAAATCTGTGAGTGGATTCTCAGTTGCCATAAAATCATAATTTAGGGCATGATCCTGCTTTCACTTACACTCTCACTTCCAGCAGAATCTGCTACATGTGGAAACAGGTGTGGAACATACCTGACATGTCAGCGGGGTTGTTGATAGTTCCATGGAGTCTAGGGGTAGAAGGAACTGCTAGATCACTTTGTCTGATATTCCTGCTATGGAAATCCATTCAGTTATTCTTGTACTGGGTCAAATAAATTGCACTGAACTAAAATGTAGCTTCCAAAAAAGCCTCCAGAGGATTTCAAAACACAGGAATACACCACTCTCCTTCATCATTCAGATAACTGTGTAAAGAAAGCTTGCTACTAAACTATGCCTTCTGTCTAGCATGAATATATCTACCTTCCTCTTTTAGCTTTTCACTGTTACATGACAAAGAACCTTATTTTCTCTCATTTTCTTACTGTGAAGGTAACTATGCATTGCAAAGTGTTTGCTTCATGCTTTTCTTATTGATAAGCTCTACACAGTAGCTGATCTGCAGTAAAAGAGCCTGTATAAATCCTTACCTGAGGGATGATGTGAGATAAGAGCCCTCACCTTCACTGAGGGATCACCTCTGCTCCTGTTTTCCTGGCAGCTACTGAAGAGGCTGTTTAGGGTAATCCTGCTGTCAGCTACCACTGGCTGCTGGTTTCCACCCAAGAGCAGCCCTGTCCCCTGTACAGCCAGTTCACAGGTAGAAATGGCTCGGCGACTGCCTTCAACACTGATCACTGAAGGGATCAGTGAAGCACTGCAAACTCTGCTGGTCCAAGGGAGGGAGTAGATTGACATATGTGTGTGTGGTGTATGTTGGAGGCAAGAATTCACATACTTTTGAGGATGATAGGAAAGAAGAGGTGGGAAAAAGCACATGGAGCCATTCCCTCAGGCTAAAAGTGAGTACTCAATGGTTGCTAAAGAGTGGCTTACATGCCATCAATTCATCCACTGATTTGATCTTCAGTAACCAATTTATTCAACCATAGCCTATGTCAAACTCCCCCAAAAATATATTTTGTCTGGCCTCTGTCAAACACACCCATCGTTTCAATAGAAAATTAAGTTAGGTTAGTTAATTAAGATTATTTCCCTACAGCTGGTGATAATCTATGCCTGTGGACAGTGACAGCCAAGAACTCCCTTTTCCTCACTACGTGTGATTATAAATCACAATTAGAAAGAAGGATTGTTTGATAATGGTAACCATGTAGATGTAACATAACATATAAATGTTGATGTGATATAGTTCTAATGAAATACATCTACATCTGGTTTCTACAGCATTGCGTGGATTGGCATTAATCATATCCTCCTAATTTTAATTCCTTCCTGGTAGGCAAACCTAACTTACCGACCTACATTATCCCACTTGCCCTGACAGTGTGATCACACAACATGAGGTATGGCTGAGAAGGAAATGGCTGTGGACATGAGAGACTCACCATTCCCATTATGTCATTTTCTAAAGCAAAATTTTGGTGTGATTTAAGTGCTGCTATTGCTGTACAAAGATTTGTGCCTCACCAGGCTCTGTCCCTTGATCCCTGTTCAAACCTAAAGAGCATGGGATTAAGCCAATGGGACATTGTGTATTTCCAGAGTAATATACAGTCATCAGTAGAGGAGGCGTGCAGTCTACAAATATAAATTACTAAAAGGGGGAATAAAAAAAAAAGCTAGTTCATTTGTAAAAAATGCTCATTTGAAAAAATTAATTTGTAACATTTGCTTATTAACCAAACTAAACCAAACAAGCCCAGTCTCCCCCTGAAACCTCATTTCAGAAATTATCCTAGAAATGAAGTCCCCTATGCAGGACATACGTGTCCCTGAATCAAGACAAGGCAGCCAAGTGTCCGAGGAACCCAGAGGTGCTGGCAGCAACAGCTCCTCAAGGCACAGTGTTGAGGGTAGCCATGCTGGAGGACGGACTAGGGACACCCATGTTACCACTTAATTCTCTCTTGCCTCTGACAGTGCCAGAGAAATTCTGATATCAGGAAATGACGCTTTAGGACTCATGCAGACATCAAGGACTTGTTTATGTGTATGATGGTAGCAGAGCTTGAGGTACCTCCTTGCCTGGATAAATGATGAACATTTATCATTCTTCATGAACTGCAGTGATAGGACAAGGAGCAATGGGTACAAATTGAAAGAGGGGAAATTTAAGTTAAGTATTAGAAAGAAATTTTTAACTGTGAGGGTGGTTAGACACTGGAACAGGTTTCCCAGAGAGGTTCTGGGTGTCCCAACCCTGACAGTGTTGAAAGCCAGGTTGAATAAGGCCTTGAACAACCTGGTCTAGTGGAAGGTGCCCATGGCAATGGGGAGGTGAGACTAAATTATCTTTAAGGTCCATTTCAACCCCTTAACATTCTATGATTCTATGGTCATGTTAAGCCTGGCTTACACTACATATTTGGCTAGTAGGAAGGCTGCTGTGGAGAGGGGGTCAAGTAGCCTTCTTGACACCCTTCTGACCCTCTGGCCCTGTTAGGTGCAGACACTGCAATATGTCCCTTGCCTGATGAGAGAGGCTCTGTAACAAAAGATGGTGTGACACAGATCATTTGGAGGTGGTTGGAGTATGGGAATGGGGCTGCCTAGGGAGGAAGGTCTGAAAAGGAGGAATGCCTGAAAGCCCCGACAGACTCCATGCTTGCTAAGTCATGATGTACTTTCAGGGGCACTCTAAACCATCAAAAATCAGATTGTTGCTAAAAGCAGTTGTTTTGCCTTCACCTTGCCAAAGGTACTTAACTTTTGCCGTTCCCTCTCCCCAGGTAACCAATTTCTGACCTAGGTTAGTTCTCCTGATGTAGGAAAAGGGACAGTGAGGGCAAGGGTGAAACAGCTGCTTTCCCTGCCACATCCAGGTTAAAACTGCTCACAATACTGACTTAAACTACCATCAGACTTGTTATTTGAGACAGATGGATCGTTCCCTGCCACATCCAGGTTAAAACTGCTCACAATACTGACTTAAACTACCATCAGACTTGTTATTTGAGACAGATGGATCGTTCAAGGATCTCGGCTTTGATACAACATCCTAAAGCCACTCTCCCCTTGGAGCACACCTGTGCTCTAACAACTTCCACAAGACAGATTCCCAAAAAATCTGCAGTCTAGGTAACCACCGACTTTAAACCATTTATTTGCACATGAGAAGCCCCCAGAGGGCTCCGAAGTTTTCCCACACGGTAAGGTAACGACAGGCGATAACTCGGCGAAGAGTCACCTCCGGATTTCCCAACGGTGTCTGGACACGGCTCCCTTTGTGGGCGCGACGCCTCAAAGCAGCGACCTTTGTGGTCCTTGAGAAAGCAGCACGGCGGAATGGGAAGCTGATCCCCGCCATCCTCCCCCGCGGGAACCCGCCAGGGCACGGCGAGACGCGGCAGCGCCAGCGCGGCCCCGCTCCGGCCCCGCGCCCGGCGCTGGGGGATCCCGGACCCCGCGCTGCTCCACTCGCCTCAACAGTGCCACCCAGTGCCTCTTTTGTATCATTTCAAGTGGAAACGAGGGCTCGAAAGCGGGGAAATCCGCCTTTAAGGCAGAACGGAGTCACAAGGAGCGAGTGAAAGCAACTGGCGAGCAGCAGTGGGGTGTGCTGTGAGCTGCGGGTGCCCCCGGCTACCGCGAACCATCGACAGAAAAGAGCGGACATTTCTGATTTAAAACAAAACAAGTGAAAACCCCCCCAAACAAAACCCCAAATCAAAACCCACGCCACAGTTCTCCAGTTTTTAAATGGCCTAACGTGTTTCCCGGCTTGTTTTAACGTGAGATGCGGGGGTATGAAGGTCAGTGGGAGCTTCCTTGGGTCTTTGCTACAACAAATGTTCCCGTGAGTGAATGGATAAAGCAGGATTGAAAACTGAAAAGTTCATCCATTCATAGAGGAAATTCCCTAATTAATAAAAACCAGCAGCAGCAATAACTGTCCCAGCCGAATAGTGGCTGTGGGAGGGACGAGTCCCATACCCCAAGCCCAGGGATGCAGGGAGTGGGGAAATTGGGGGCTTGCCCCCACTGCGGGGCATGAAGAGGAACCAGTTGGTGGCAACATATGTGTATTGCATTTCTCTGTAAAATTTGCAAGTAGCTAATTAAATTTCTGACGCTGAATCCTTGGCTGAGATCATTTCAATGGGCAGGGTTGGTTGCTTTTTTTTTTCTCCTTACAGGAGTTCCCTCCCCTCCTTCTTCCCATCCTCCGCCTATTAAAACAACTCAAGTCTCACTTGTTAAAAGACCCCATAACGTGGAAGAGGCAGAAAAGCAGCAGCAGCAGCAGGAAAGGAAAAGACGTCTGGAAAATATTACCCGTTTGCTGCTGCTGCTGCTGAGGAACCTCATTGAAACTGTTACTCGGGCAGCAAGGTATCACCAAAGAGACTTTATCTGATGCTGTACATCTCAAACTTTCAGACGCTGCCTTGCAACTTCTCCAGGCTCCTGGCTAGCGGGGTTTGAAATAAGATCTTCAGCTTCGACCACGAGAAACTAACTCCTAATTTATTATTTCTAACTTTTTTATTATTATTATTATTATTATTATTATTATTATTACTATTATTTGAGGAAAAAAATCCCACAACTTTGAGCTAGAAACTGAAGCAGAGAAAGACAAATACGTGGTAATTGTGAAAACACGTGGGAGAAAATGAATAGGACTGACTAGCCTTAAGCGACTTTTTTTATTATTTTCATTTTTAATTATTTTTTATTTCTGAGCGTCTCAATAAGTCCGTGAAAAGTGCGATTTGATTTTTTTACCTCAAACTTGGAAACTATTCAGCGGGAGCAACGGTACGTGAGACCACACAGTTGGCTGGAGCCCCTCTATGACCAAAGGACAGAAGGACAAACAAGGTAGGTGATTTATGATTACGCTTCTGTGAGCTCAAGAGCAGAAGACCCCCTCCTCCCATCCCCACTATTCAAGGGAGGAAAGCTGAAACAGATCCCCAGAATACGAGTGGGGATGGGGGAGGATCTTACCGGCTCTTACGCTACACCTATTTCAGCAATGAATAGGACCGTCGTGAGGATGAATGAGGTTTTCAGGTTCAACCCCTCCTCCGTGTAATCCGTTTAAGACATTGCTGAGCGCCAAGATCGTGGGGGGGGGGAAGCCACCAAAAACAAAACCTCTCAAAAGATCCTAAAATTAAAATCTAGAGCAGGTTAGGCAGCTGCTCCGCTGAGCCCAGAGGGGAAGGCGAGACCAGCTGAGAGCCCAGGTGGGGTTCTCTCCGGCCGTTCCCCGGCTGTGCATCCAGGGCCAGGCGGGGGACGCGACAGGAGCGGCGGGAGGGATAGGACTGAGGGAGGGAGGCGAGGCGGCGGGCGTGGGGCTGGAGTGGGGCGGGCGTCCCGCCCCGGAGCGGGGAAACCAGCGCTCCTGAGCCGCTGGGGCGCCGCGCCGAGCGCGGAGGGCGGTTTCCCGAGCTCAGGAGGTTCGGGGGAGGCGGGATGCGGGGGGGCGGGGGCTGCCCGCGGGCTTCCAGCGCCGCACGCCCGCCCCGGCCCCACCCGGCGGGGCGCCCGCCGGCCAGACCCGCGCTGGCGGCGGGGCCGGCCGAGGGAGGGTCGTACTTCGCGGGGGGCGAAGGCAGCGCCAGCGCAACCTGGGCCGGCCCCGTCGGGTCCCGCACGGCCCCGCACGGCGCGGGTCCCGCCACCCGGGCACAGCCCCCCATCCCGGGCGGAGCGGGGCCGCCCCCCGTGACGTGGCGGCGCGGGGGATCCCCGGCCCCGCCCCCTCTGTGACGCAGCAGCACCGCCCCCGCGGGCGGCGGGGCCGGGGATCCCCCTCAGAGCGGCCCCGCCGAGCGCACGGCACCGCCTGAGGGAACTGCGCGGCCCCCGGGCCCCTCCCGCCTGAAAACCGCGTCCCTCTGTCCCGGACAGCCCTGCTCGGCACCTGTCCGAGCGTCCGTTCGTGCCTCTCGGACACGGCCGCGACTCACCTCGCCACACTCCTTAGTAATGCTGGCAGAAGGGTGAAATGGACCTAGAGAGAGAATTTACCCCATTTCCCTTCCCCCGACAGGACCCCAATGTAGTACAACACTCCTGATGGGCGTTGTCTTAGTCTAGAGGAGGGAAAACTGAGGGGGGATCTCATCAGTGCACATAAATATCTCCAAGGTGAGTGGCAAGAGGATGGTGCAAGACTATTGTCGGTGGTGCCCAGTGAAAGGATGAGGAGCAATGGCCATAAACTAAAACACAAGAAGCTTCACCTCAACATGAGGAATAACTTATTTCCATTGAGAGTGGCAGGGCACTGGAACAGGCTGCCCAGGGAGGTTGTGAAATGTCTCTCTCTGGAGACGTTCAAAACCCACCTGGATGTGTTCCTGTGTCACCTGCACTGGGTGATCCTGCCTTGGCAGGGGGGTTGGACTGGATGATTGCCAGAGCTCCCTTCCAACCCCAACAGTTCTGTGATTCTTCAGGGCTGCAGTGATCCCACATCTCCCAGGGCTCAGCTGCTCCTCTTGTTTCACTTGGCTTCATAGTCTCCTTCCTCAAGGATCATTTTTCCATCGGCACCCATGCATTTTTTCAAAAGCACACGTTGCGTGTAACATGGATACCTCGGTGGTTCTTTTGGGGATTGGTTAGGTTACTTCACCTGAGGGTGATGGCAGTGAAATATTTTCTTTTCCCCTGAAAAACTTTGCAAAATTCAGCAACTCCTAGGCTAGAGGAGTTTTGTCTCTGGTGTCAATAAAGCCAGGATTTCATTTCAGGGTAGTAAATCTTTCTTACCCCTCATGCAAGCAGAGAAAAACCTGAGGAAAGATTTTCCCAGTAGGAAGAGCAACTCTACTGGTTTCAGTGGAGTTTTCCATGCAAGTTCACTAGCAAAAAACTATTTGTGGCATGAAAGGACATTTGCTTCAAGGTGTTGCTATTTAAGATTAGTGTATAAAGCAGTAAAGTAGTCCTCCATTCAGTGTAGTGGGACTTGACTAAGTCAAACAAGGTATGACCTGTGCTTTATAACCTAATTGCAAGATAATAAGCTGTATACACCAAATAAATATTTATTTGCTGGATTAAGTAATGAAATAGTCAAGTCTGTGCATCCAGGGACTTCATAACTGGCAACTAGAAAGTATTTCTGAACTATATTTTTGTTTAACCACAGTCCAAAATATCTGAGTACCAGTATGATTTACTCCTTTATTTATTTCTTATAGCATTCGTCTGGGGGGAGTTGTTGTTGGTTTACTTTTCTTTTCTTTTTGCTAATTTAACAATTAGTGTATCACTGTCTACATTACACTCAAATCCAACCAGCAGCTGTAAAATTCATTCCATGTTGGTTACTCAAACCTGTAAGAGACTAAATTTAGGCAGTTTAGTGGGAAACATACGTTAATCAGATAGGGGATTCTTGATTTGCTGACCAAAGCCTGTGAATACAGATACACTTTGCCATCATTAGTAATCCTGTTCTTTACTTTAAACTTAACCCCAGAGTTAATTTTAGTCTAATGTGAGCCCTTTCCAGAAGATCAATAGCATAACAAAATCTGGAAGTGATAAATAACCAAAAGTACCAGATATGGTAAGTGTGCTGTAATAAACATGTACAGATGGAGCATAACTCTTCAGTTTCCTCTCTGCAGACTGTAGAATAGAAGAGGGAGTCTGGACAGCTACTTTGTGCTTGTAATTAATGTGTACTTGGAATAATTTGTACTCCAAGGATAAATGATTTAATTTGCCATCAAAATGAGGCTAATAATGAATCTAAATATTGGCTGAAAAACTGTAAGCCTCCAACACCATGTACACACACTGAGTGTGTGTGTGTAGGGCCAGATACAGCATGTGCATGCGCACACAGATGCACACACACACACACTTGTGTAATTGAAGCAGTTGCTCTGATGAAGTCAATGCTATTATTCTGATATGTAAGGAGGGGAGGGTTAAGGCTTATAAAGATGGCATTCTTCGATTGTGAGCAAAATAGCCCTTGGTAGCTGTATGCACTTATAGCCATGTGTGTTGGCCTTTATAGTGTCAACCTCACTGATCTTAGGCATCCTACTGAATGAGAGTTGTATTTTTGTTGCAGACAAATCCCTACTGAGTATACTTTCAGGTTAATATAGGCAAGGAAAATAGGAAGTGGTGTGTTGGGTAACTAGAGAACTGGTGGATCCCATATCACCCCAGAAAGAGTTACATTGCAAAAATATCAGTAACCTAAGCCTTAAGAAGGGTTTTGTAGACCTCCAAAAACTTCCTTCATGATCATGATTCCCATTTTACAGGTGAGGAAGCTGAAACAGAGAGGTGAATTCACTTACCTAAGGTTATCCCGCACGTGAATAACAACACTAGGAACCAAATCAAAATTATCTGAGTCCTGATCAACTCTTAGATTCTCTAACATAAGAAATGCAGTGGTTAACACTGACCCATCTAACAACCTTCATAAGGGAGGTTAATCTGTATAATAAATTTCTCAAACATATAGATACATTTTTATCTTGAGTGTCCCGGAAATAGCATCTTCACAGAGAAAGATTTTTTTTTTTTACACCTTTATTACAGAACTGCAAGATATATTATCCACTGATATCCCTCCTCTGCAAAAATACCTAAGTGCACACTTATCTTTAATGGCATGCTTATGTGTTTTGCTGAATCCAACGCCTCAGCATTAAGGTCCAGTACATATTCAAGAGTTCGCCTTTGATACAGGCACATAAAAATGAGACATTTTCAAAGGTTGTTTGTGCTCAGCACTTCTGGTTTCAACAATGGTTGCAGACAAATCTGACCTGTGGATCTTCTGTGAAAAGTTGATTTGTATTATCAATTTAGTTTGAATCGAGAGTGTCCTACTGAAGTCAATGCTACAAGTGCACTACCACCAACTAAATTGCTTGAGTTTCTATTGCAAAGCAATCACTCGGCACTCAAACTGGATTCCTCTTGAATGACCTAATTGCAAGCTACACCCCTGGGGGACACTTTTCATGTTTTTAATCCATGGAGTCTGACTATACTTAGTTCAGAGTAAAACATGAAAATGTATGGAGGATGGAGTTGGGCCCTTAGCACCAATTCTTCCTCGTTGCAGATCTGTTTCTGTAGTATTAGACTATTTGCTGATGTGACCATAGCCCTAGATGTCTAGAGAGAGGCACAGATCTTTTGAACCTTTATGTGGTGGGTGGACCTTAGCTGGCTGCATAGTGCCCTCCCAGCTGCTCTATCTCTCCTCTCCTCAGCAGGATGTGGGTAGAGAAAATAAGATGGAAGATCACCAAGTAGGTTGAGATCAAGGCAGCTTAATAAAGCAAAGGCTGTGTAGAAAGTAAAGGAAAACAAGACATTTATTCTCTACTTCTCGTCAGCAGGTGATGTTCAGCCACTTCCCTGGAATTAGGGCTTCAGTACAGGTAGCAGTTGCTCTGGAAAAAAAATGTCATAATTCATTCCTCCCCCTCCTCCTCCTTTTAGCTTTTATATCTGAGCAGATGTCATGTGGTGTGGAATAACCTTTGGTCAGTTTGGGTCAGCTTTCCTGGTTATGTCACCTCCCAGGATGTTGCCCACCCCTAGTAAACTGGTGTAGGGGAAACATTGGAGAGACAGCCTGGATGCTGTGAGATGCTCAGCAGTAGCCAAAACACTGCTGTGTTCTCAACACCTTCCTAGCTATAAATAGCACTATGAGGACTGCTATGGGAAAAATTAACTTCATCTCAGCCAAATCCAATACAGGCAAAAAATGAGCACGTTTGTGATTGAACTTTTACTGTTGTCTCCTGGATAGATATTGACTTTTGCAGCTTATGGCTGTGATTTTTTAAAATGTCTTCAAATGTTTGGAATTAATAAGTCCTAATTCTTTCAAACAACCTTCCAAATCATTACACATGATGTACAAACTTTCTGTCTCCCCCTTTTGCTTTTTAATATTCTGGGGAAAACTATCCAGAAGTACTACAGGGCAATGTTTGAGTGTTGTGCATGAAAGACAATTTCTGACAGAGATGATGCAGTGAGCTGCATCCCCATTTGTTACAAGCAGACCTAACTTCAGTTTGATCCCCCATCAGTCACTGGTTCCATGTCCTGTATCAGCAGATGCCAGGTACCACCTGGTTTCTTCCTTTAAAATAAGTGAAGAGACTGCAAATAATATTGATGTCTTCAGACACCAATGCACATACATTTTCTGGATATGTATTTGACCCTATCTGTTTGTTACCTTCTTGATGTATTAGTAAAAAAATACACTTTTCTTTTTTTCTCTGTGCCTCCTGACTTCTGCTGTCTTCAGTTCCTGTTACTGCCAGGGATCCATGAAAGCTGATTAATAACCATATGGACAGACCCTGCTACATGATTTTGGAGTGGTGTTTTACCGCAGAAGTCACCAGCATTCTTTGCTGAGGAAAGACCAAAGACCCAGCCCAAAGCAAGACATATGAACCCGCTGAATTTCAATCAAGTGTCTAGATCTTTATTAAAGTTAGGTCTATGTACAATAACTACAGTTAACTGCTAGCCTAAATATTTTTCAGAATAGAGAGAACTGAACCATATTTTGCTATGTTCTTCTAATTTGAGATCTAAGGCATTATTCAGTCTGAGAAAGGAGTGTGATCTCTAGTGCTGCAGTTAATACCTCCATCATTATATGTAGAGGGTAGGTATATCACTCATTTGTTAACCTGATTTTTTTTCTGAAAATGATGTTAGAAGACTACAACTTTTAGTCATGCCGGTTCTTGATATTAATGTAGAGTAAGTTCTCCTTTGTCATAGGTTGGACAAAAAGATCCTATTTCTTGTGGCTTTATCAGGGTGCCAAAAGAGACACAATGCCAAAGAGTTCTCTAGGTGGACTCTGGTGCTGAGTACATGCAAGAGTTCATTTCTTGGCCATGCTTTTCCATAAGAGCATCCAAAGAAAGGCACATTGCCTCCTCCTGTACAGTCACTACAAGGCACATATATCCTTGGGACCTCTTAGTGAATCAAAATGTGTGAGTGAATCAGCAACAGCCTACACAGCATTAGGATTTAGCATATGACTTTCACATTTAATTTCTACTAGATGTGCTGGTGAGCACTGCTCAGCTCCATCCACGAAAGTAAACAGCTGCAATATAATGACAACAAATTGCTCAATAGCAGACTTTGAAGCCTCTTTACGTACACTCATCTTGTTTACACGAACCTGGAGTCTGTTTGCTGGAGGCTGCATAAAGCTCTACTGGGCTCAGCACCGTGGGGTTAGGGGAAGATGTGTGTAAAGGATTTAGGTGCCCAAATTGCAAAATAGAATTATTATATTTCACTGTGTTAGGCCAGGCTAGATGCTCATAACAGCACTGTCTGACCTAAAAATCTCTAATGCAGCTGCTCCCTACCCTTGGTGTTAGTATTTGACTCAGTAGTTCATTTTTGGTCCCAGACTTGTACAAGCATCATTTCCTTTCACTTTTGGCTCAATTACTGGAGAAGGGTGGAGAGTTTTTGGCTTCTTTGCCATTGTTTGGGCATGTTCAAGTTGATAAAGATCATTTCTGCTGGGCAAGCTATCAATAGCTCACGTGTTAAAGCTTGAGAATATTGAGCAACTTTTTCCAGAGTTCCTTGAGATTCAGTCAGTTAAAACACTATACATAAAAACCTCAATTGCACATACAAAGAGCAAAGTTTCTTTGATGAAAGCCAGGAATTTAGATCGAAAACCCATTTATTTTCCTAAGGATGACAGTGAAAGGATAGAAAAAAATGCTATTTTATTAGCACCAGAAGTCCATTTCTTGATTTTAAAAGACTGGGGGTTTGCAACAGAGCGAAACTGGGCTGTAATGACAAGATCAGAGAATTATTCTTTTTTTTTTTCCTTTTTTTGCAGAAGCACTTCACAGGTACAGAAAAGCAATAACAAATTAGTATAAAAGATGCCTAGTACACTATATAGGCAGTCAGATGTAACCACTCCAGATCTTAATCTAAATCCTGTGACTCCTACCCATCGAAGCGGTCCATTTGTTTCAGCCATATAATTGTTAATGTAAGCAGACTCTGGCCCCTACTCACTAATACAAATGTTCTATTTCTGGCAAGAGAAAAGAAGTGATAAACCCCAAAAGGGAAAGCAGAGTACAGCTGCACCATTAATGAGACATTTACCTTGATGTTTGTGACATTTTGCATGCTTGAGGAATTAGTAAACACACAAGCTATTTGACTTTAAGGTAATCTAGAAGGGGATCCGTTACTTAATCTCTTTTCTAAAGCAAGTCTAATTTGGGCACTGGGTTTTAATTCATATATACCAGTGGAGGTAAGCATATCTTTTATTAGGCTTCTTTATCACCCCCACTGTGAAAAATTTTCAGACAGGCCAGAGCAGGGATGGTGGATGATTACAGCACCTGTCAGAGCCCAGCCATAAGTATTCAAGGAAGTCATAAAGATGGGGTCCGATTTCTTTAACAGTGCCTCCAAATATACATTTAAGAGGCTTCCTTCTGTCTTGAAATTTAAGACCCTAAATAGCCAGTTTAAAAAAAGCAAAGTCTTTGTAACCTCCGACTTCATGCTCATCTAGTTTTATTTTGATTTGGTAAGTGATTCCGTGTTGACTTTTTTTTTCCAAGCCTATAACTTGTCAGACATATATAATTGATGACAGCTATGTTGCTGTAGCTTGGTAGTAATTTTTCAATGAAGAGTTAAAAACATATATGAGGTGAAGAAGTCCTGTTCCAACTTCAGCTTTGGCCAACAGATGGTGAAACAAATATGATCAGCAAATGAGCAAGATGATAGCAGCAGGGAAAACATGAATAATAGCAAGAAAACACAAATATTAAGTCCATTACTCTGAGAGGATCTACTTCAGCAAAATATTCAAGCATGAGCTTTATTGACTTGCAACACACTTGCTGGGTTAGCCTTAAACAGACATTATCCGTTTTATGTCCTTCACATTAAATGCATCCAGTGACAGAAAACATTGTCATTAACTTCCTGTAATTCTGAGAAAGCATAAAATTGTTAATGTGATTGTCAAGAGAAAGCAGTTAGGTAGCAATATAGTCTGCCTGTCTGCCTGTCTACGCTGTTTGTCTCGAGAATACCAGAGCACCCTCCATGCCAGCCACAGCCCAGAGCTTAGGTTAGAAGATTTTATAGGCAGGTAACCTAAGTATGTAGAAGTGGTCAGAATTAACTGATGTCCTAAGGAATTTCTGAGTCCAGGGTGGAGTCTTGGCTCTGTTAAATTTATGAGTATTTTTGCCACAGACTTAATCTAAGTCAGGCTTTAGCCCCTATACACACATGCTCACGTGTGCATATATCTATGCACACAAATGTATAAATAATACATTTTTGCAATGGTATTGAGACCTTTTAAAGCAGATGTCTGATTATATAAATATAAATTATAAATATAGTCAGACATCTGTTTAAAAAATTATAAATACATTCAGACATCTGTTTTAAGAATGTCTTTCCAATATTTTTGCAAACATAACTAAGTGACCGAAACAATTCAGGGTGGGATGCGGTCATGACATGGCTGGGGGATGAGGAGGGGCTGCCCAGACATTCAGCTGTTCCACTCGCCTGTGACTGTATGAAGCGAGTGATGGCCCAAGAACCCTTCTCCAACCTCCTCAGGGAAATATGACAGAGCATCTCATCCAGCAAGCCCAGGCTGCCAAAATAAGATCCTGACACAGACAGCAAATTCTGTGAGGACATTACAAATAGCAAACATCTCTGCTACACTAAGTGTATTTGGGTCATGCTTTACATGCAGAAAATACTGCAAAGAGATGTTATGTTGAGCAAGGTGATGCCGTAAGTCTGTGAACCAGAAGCTCAGGGTGTATCTGTTGCTGCTGAGATCTGTGTTGTAGCCACGTGAACCGCTTATGAGATCTTACACCAGCAAGTGGTGGCTCTGCTAACGGTTTCCCTACTTCTTTGCAGATGTATTGTGAGAGGTTTATATGTATCCTGAGAATACTTGGAACCACACTCTTCGGGGTGTCCCTCCTGCTGGGAATCACCGCTGCTTACATTGTAGGCTACCAGTTCATCCAAACAGACAACTACTACTTCTCCTTTGGACTCTATGGTGCTATCTTGGCATCACATCTCATCATCCAAAGCCTGTTTGCCTACCTAGAGCACAGGAAAATGAAACGGTCGCTAGAGACTCCAATCAAGCTGAACAAAACAGTTGCCCTTTGTATTGCTGCCTATCAAGAGGATCCTGACTACTTAAGAAAATGTTTACTTTCTGTGAAAAGACTGACCTACCCTGGAATTAAAGTTGTTATGGTCATTGATGGGAACTCAGAAGATGACGTTTACATGATGGACATTTTCACTGAAATCATGGGTAGGGACACATGTGCCACTTATGTCTGGAGTAATAACTTCCACGACAAAGGTCCAGGTGAGACAGAAGAGTCTCACAGAGAAAGCATGCAACACGTATCTCAGCTGGTCCTGTCCAACAAAAGTGTTTGCATCATGCAGAAATGGGGTGGAAAAAGAGAAGTAATGTACACAGCATTCAAAGCACTGGGGAGAAGCGTGGATTATGTACAGGTAGGTATTAGAGCATCAGGTCAGTGCCAATTCAAACACACTTTGAAAGAAAGCAGCTTTTGTATATTTTGTGCAGCATGTTAGAGGCTATCCTAGTCCCTGATGAACACAGTGCTCCTTTCAGTCTGTTTGGAAACAGCTTGACCGTTAAAAGGGTATTTTGCTAGCTTTTAAAATGGCCTGTCTATCTGTGACTATGTTAAATCTGTGCACCAGCTACTGGAGAAATCTGAAATCCTCTCCCAGCCTTCAGTACTGCCCCCTCATCTAAATGGTTTTGCTTCACACAAAGACAGTGGCCTCCTGAAAACCCCGTCTATGCTCCTGTAGGTTAAGATCTTGGGTAAGGCTTTATTTTGTGAGGTTGTTAGTGGCCCCATGTGAGCAGACAGACAGATATTTGATGGCACTAGGGAATATCTCAGAGCAATGGTGGAATCTGTAAAAAAATGAGGATATTTTAAAGGCATCAAAGGCTATGTGGAGTATTCAATAAAAGGGTCAATGTGCAGATTTGAAAGAAAGATTTCTCCAGCTAAAGCCTGAAGGAGCTTTTGCTTCATCATTTACAGCTGCATTACCTCACTCACCGCGACTTGGCCTTTAAAGCTCTTACGACACTATTCACTTAAAAATGAGTTAGGCTGGGTCCTCTCTCCCTGTTTTCAAAGCAGCAGAGGCACATTTCTTTCCAGCTGCCTTGGATCCCCTGAAAGATTGTCTGTGCTTTTGTCTTACTTACATGGGAGCACTTCTCACTCCTGCAAACAGCTCTGCTGATTGTGGGAAGGGGAAGAGGTCATGTATAAGGAAGGTGGGTGGGATCAGGATCTCTAGCTGGACACTAAGGCCCTTTCCTTATCATTCAAGGCCAACAAGGCTCATTTGACTAATACCACTGAATATGAGATGATCTTCCTAATGAACTACCCTCAGTTCTTCCCGCCTTCTCCCAAACTCAGAGCATCCAGCAGTCTCCTCCGGTGGAGCAGCAGCTCCCCGTGAGATGCTCTCTACTGGCTCAGGGCGGCTGCATGGCTGAGCCATATGTGTTTCTGGGGTCTGTGCCCAGCCTTGTGTGGGTGTGTGCATGCTCTGCACAGCACAGCATCCACGTGCACAGTGTCCAAGGGATGTGGAGAGCCTGCCAGTAGCTGGGCTGAGACCAGTGAGTCTTCCATGCACAGGAGGGGCAGGAACTGAAGAATGCCAGGAACCACTCTGTTATTGGAGCTGAGAGAGTAAGGCGAAGATTTAAAACCCGTTCCCTACCACTTCTCAGACTGAAACTAATTTATTCTCTGAAAAGAGTGGCCTTAAGTTCTTCATTGTCTGCACTTTGATTCTGTGCTGTAAGGAACTATGATGGGGATAAAAATGCTGATTTTCTCTATTAGCATGGGTTTATAATCACTTCACACAGAAATACCAGATTGCAGAGAAAGAAGGCAGAGAGGAAGCTGATTCATTGCAAGTTTCCTCCCTTAGTCCAGGTCTTGCATTTTTCAGGGAACCTGGAAAAAATATTTCTATTTCAACAGTCATAGCATAAACTGAGAAAATGGAAGAGGTATTTCTGGTCAGTTAACACTCCTGACTGGGCTCAGAAGTCCTAATGAATTAGTCAGGGACTGTAATACTGCTCTGAGCAAAGTTTGCAGTAATGACTAATGCCACAGTCACATCTACAGTTACATCTGTAATAGAAATGCAGCACCTTGGTGGCCCTGGAGACTACACAGTCATGAAGGAATGTAGCTAAAATGTGGCATTGTTTTATGAATGAATGAAGGTTGAGATATTTTAAATGGTTCTTTGCGGGGACCCAGGGTAAATTACTTTAAACAGGCCCAACATATTAAAGGCTAAGCAATCTGCATCAATGATAAAGCACTTAAAAAAGTGGACCATTCAGCACCACTGCCCTCCCTGAAATTGTAGGCCTTGAAATTGTACAATTTTTAAAACCCCACCTTGGGGTTAGGGACAGGCAACCATAAGCTGTCAGACCAGTGCAGATAACAAGCTGTTGCCATTAGTTGTGTCTCATTAAGTACCTGAAACTGCTGTGTAGGCTTATTTCCATCCTGGAGGAGGTTAGCAGTGTGCAAGTAATCAGGTGGAGGAGTTAAATTGGCAGGTGTCATTGGTGCAGAGCTGGTTGCGGCAGCCAGGGTACAATTCATCTTGGCTTGATGGAGGTACCTGTGCGGACAGTCCAGCACAGTCTGAACTTCTCAAAGCAGCTTGGATAAGCTGTCACTGGCTACAAAAAGTATCTGAACAGCTCGCTTAAGGTCAACCGTCCCTTTCATGCAACTCTGTGACCCAAGGCAGTAATTTTTAGGTCACTCAGCCTTTATGTGGAAAGATGGCAAACTGCCTCTTAGGCTGTCCTGGGCCACCCTGGCTGGGCAGACCTCAGTGTGTTTTATTTGGGTTCCTAAGTGTCCGTATTTGGGAGTGTCCTCTCTTCACATGCAAAAACCTCATCCAGATGAAAAATAATGGCTTGTTAGGTTTGTCCCAGAACCCCAGACATGTCCACTGTGCTGGCATGCCCAGGACATGTAATGGTAACTTGTAAATAAATCCAGTGTTTTCCTCATTTCATATTAGTGAGGGTTCTCATGGGCAGGCCTTTCTGCTATAAAGAAATGCATCTGATGGGGGTGGTGGCTGCTCAAGGGACAGGTTCTAGAGGGAAAGCAGAGGGGCTGGGGGGGGAGCTGATCCCAGCCCACCACTCATGGTCACAAGAAATGGGATGCCTAAAGCTGCCTGAGCTAACTACAGATTACCTGTGCAAAACACTCGGCAACAGGTCTTTCCAGGAAGCCCCTGGTGAAATACAAGCATCCTTTCTCCTCTTCAGTAGAATTGTTTTGCTCCCTTTCTATCACCAAGCACTGCCACTGATGACAGCTTTCCACTAAAGCTGGAGGCACACCTTGGCCAGGTTACAAAAGTGCTCCTTGGGATAAGTCCTTTGAGGAGAAGAGATGGATGCATCAAGTTAGAGCAAGCTGGAGATGCTTGTGGCTTTTCTTCTGATGGAAATATGAGAGCTTTCATCACCTTTATCCTCTTGAACCCCTCTGAGTGAGCATGGAGGGGAGCATGCTGGCAGACTCCCAGCTGCATCCCAAGCTATGCAGCCCAACTATTCTGGGTAACCTCTCCTCTTGAGCCTGATCTATAGCAGAGCTTCAAAATGCTCTCCTCCCCCTTTATAGACCAGACATGAAGGTTACTGCTCCCCTGGAGTGAGAGGGCTTGGGTTGAATTGAAAGTTAGCACAGAAGAACACCAAAATTAAGATATCTGATACAAAGTCTCAGCAGAATCTGTCTTAATATGTTGTTCATGCAGAGCTACTGACTTTAGCACCTACCGACCCCATCGAAATCACAGGAATCAGTGTGGGGACAAACTGGAAGCAGTATGAGAATTTGTAGGTCAGGATTCAGCCAGTCAGAGGGGGATTTCTGGGACAGTCTCTGCTCCAGTTCCTGGGCGTCTGTGAAGTGAGTTCACACACTATGTGGGCAGTGCTTTCAGCACAAGCAACTGCGACAAGGAAACACCCACTTTTTTTAAACAGGCTGCAGCCCGTGCTGTTCTCCTCAGAGCAAATGAAAGCAATGCCAGCTGCCTTGCAGACCGGCCAGCCTGTCTGAGCTCTCCTCCTACTCTCCAGGGGAAAGCCAATTTCCTAATGTACACAGAATTTAGTTGACTAGGAGTGTTTGTGTAGCTGAAATGCCTTGTGTGTGTCATCTATTTCTGCCCTGATCTCATGGAGTACTGAACTTCGAGACTCATTCCTTCTGGCCTTACATATTTTTTATAAGAATGCCAGAGAAAAATAGCAAATAATTTCTATATATCAAATCTCAAATCACGGCACTACTAATAACACACCGTACATCTAAAATTAAAAATGAATTTGTGCTGGAATCCAAGATACATATCTTACATGAATTGCTAAAGTCTTCTGCCAGTGAAAGAACTATTAGGTTTCTTACCAGACTCCTACTTGACTTTTTTCTTTCTTTTTTTATAACAAGTGTCTGGAATTTACCTCCTCACTCCTTCCCTCATATGGCAGTGGGAAACATTTGACCAGGGTGCTCCAACTGTGCAGCTGATGCAGGGAAACCCTATGCTAGGGCTCAACAGGAATCTGCTGCACACCCACAAACATTGTCTCACTCTGTGGTGCCCCATATCTTACTCAATGAAGCCAGCCCACTGTGTTAGTAAAAAGACAGAGCTGATACAGAAGAGAGGATTGTTGGAGGGCACAACCTTAACAAGGTCTCTGCTTCATTCAGCAACACTCTTTGCTGCCTGGTACAAATGGCCTTTAACAGAAATATCAATGCAGTCTCCAAAGTCAGATTTAATTACATTCAGGAGAGTATGCATTTAGAGTCATTTTAACCACTTGCATGATTTTTGTTTTCTTCTTTAACCCATTTTTGTTCTCATTTTGTCTTACTTGTAGGTCTGTGATTCAGATACAATGCTTGATCCAGCCTCATCAGTGGAGATGGTAAAGGTTTTAGAAGAGGATCCAATGGTTGGAGGAGTTGGAGGTGATGTGCAGGTGAGTACAACAATTTTCAGATTAACAGAGGGGTTTCAGCAATTATTTGCATTGCAACTGACTTCCCTGCCTGGAATAGCACTGAATATACTAGATGTCTATATACTATATGTGTATATATAATATGTGATACCATTATAGAGGCTCTTATCATACCTTGATCTTTCTTTCGATTGAATGGAAACTCTTATTCTTGTACGTGAGCACTGTGTGGTTTTAACACCCATAGCAAGCAAACAAATATTATTCTGCCTCATATATGTAAAAAGAAGGGCACTGGCATTGTCAGGACTGTTGTGGCATCTTTGAGTCTCTGGGTATAACTGCTTGCCCAAGGTACCAAAAGTAAAGCTATAGGGGAGCAGGGAACTGAGAACAGGTCTCTCAAAACCATGTTCAGCATCTCAAGTACTTCTATTGTATTACTACTGTCATCCAAGATTGTTAGAAATAAAAGACATTTTGAAATGCTGTGCACTGTGCACTCTGTGTGTTGCTGGGTTTCCCCTGCATCTCTGGCAGGCAGGGCAATGGAAAACTCCTACGTCAGACCAGCTCCACATCTGTTAGGATTTCCAGCATTGCCAAGTTTGGCTGACAGCTACAGCAGAAGACTGTTGGTTCCTTTTGACACAACTCCTTCTGCTGCACTTTATAAAGAAAAATGTGTATGAATATTTCAATAGGCCTTAGGATCAGTCCCCGTGCTCAGTTGGGCTTTTTATGTGACACAGAGAAGAAAGGCCATCTATATGGGCAAGCACTTACTAATGAATGCCCCAGTAGTCAGAAGTATTTCAGGCATGTGGGTCTCAACTCCAGAAATTAGGATTCACACAGAAACCTGAATAACTTTGGAGCTCTAGACTGGCTACAAACCAGGTGTCACACTCACCCTATGCATGTGAGATGCCAGGCATGTGTGAGTACAAGTGGAGGGAGGCAGCACAGGTTCAGCTGTGACAGTGAACATTCATAAGCATCTGCAGAGAGAGGTGGGAAGGACGTGTGTCCTCTGGGAGGAAAGGTGACACAATGAAGGCTCTGGGCTTTTTTTTTTTTCCCAGTTCATTTTCCAGCGTACACCAAATGCATTTGAGCCAGGTTTGTATCTATCTCCAAGCCCTGCTGCTTCTAAAATATTCTGGAATTAAACTGAAACAGAGACAAGATTGGCCCACGGCCTTCACACCTGACAGAAATTAGGGTCATCAGAACAAAGACTACTCTTTTTTAGTTACAGGGCAATGCTTTCTAGTTGTAGAAGGCCACAGGTCCCCCTGAAAATCCCCACACTGAGAAGACATAGGTTCAAAGCTGGCACAGCTGCCCTGCCACACACTTCCTTGCTGCATCCTCTGGCACAAGCTGTGTGCTGAGAACCTGGGTGCAAAGCCACGGACTTGTACATCTCCAGGCACTCATACCTCCACTGAGTGTTCAGACTCCTAGACTGTGCTTATGTCGTATTTTAAGTGTAGGTCTCAGCTTCAAGTGAGCTTTGGGGTGTGCAGAAGAGAAAGACTGAAAGCTTTATGGAGGCCAAAGGACTACAGACTCTACTGGAATATCACCTTATGTCTTGGGACAAAGTAACAGGATTGGTACTGCAGAGGCAGAACAGGTTGTTCCTCAGAGGGCCTACTGTTGGATATGGGGACACAGTCCAGGGTCAAGCCTCTGGGGCCTTACAATACCAAAAATCTAAGGCAAAGACCATGTGCTCAGCTTTTCTCATGCTCCTGTGCGAGAGCTTTAGGAAGGTTGGAAGAACTTCTGTGAGTCCCAAAGATGGGTGTGGGGAGGAGAGCAGCAGGAGGCCATGTCTGGGACTCCACCAGCTCTTAGAAATGTCTGAGTCCAGCAGGTCTTTAAGTGGGAACAAAGGGGAGGGAAGAATGAGACAGGAAAGAAGGAAGTTTCTTGGTGGAGAAAGGAAAGTGTGTGAAGAAAAAGAAAATATCTTGGTGGAACATACTTTTGAAGGCTTCATCTCACCCTTCCTGTCAATGTCCTGGCTGAGCTGTTTGTGTAACTCCTGGGTTTGCCATGAGCTGGACTCAGGAGTGAGGTTCCCACCACCTTTGGTCCAATGGTTCTCTAGTCTCTGCACATTTCTTATCAATCCAATTTGCATATTTTCTGTCTCAAGAGCTCATCTAAAATGAAAACTTTTTATTTTGCAGATTTTGAACAAATACGATTCCTGGATCTCCTTTCTGAGCAGCGTGCGATACTGGATGGCATTTAACATAGAAAGAGCCTGTCAGTCCTACTTTGGCTGTGTACAGTGCATCAGCGGACCTCTGGGAATGTACAGAAACTCTTTACTCCATGAATTTGTGGAAGATTGGTACAATCAAGAATTTATGGGCTCCCAGTGCAGCTTTGGAGATGACAGGCATCTAACTAACAGAGTGCTAAGTCTGGGCTATGCAACAAAATACACCGCTAGATCCAAGTGCCTTACCGAAACACCGATAGAGTATCTCAGGTGGCTGAATCAGCAGACGCGCTGGAGTAAATCCTACTTTAGAGAGTGGCTTTATAATGCAATGTGGTTCCACAAGCACCATTTGTGGATGACCTATGAAGCTGTAATCACTGGATTCTTTCCTTTCTTTCTTATCGCCACAGTCATTCAGCTCTTCTACAGGGGAAAAATCTGGAACATCCTCCTCTTCCTGTTGACAGTTCAGTTAGTTGGCCTGATAAAGTCTTCCTTTGCCAGCTTCCTTAGGGGCAACATTGTCATGGTTTTCATGTCACTCTACTCAGTGTTGTACATGTCAAGTTTACTGCCAGCAAAGATGTTTGCAATTGCCACGATAAACAAAGCAGGGTGGGGCACATCAGGAAGGAAAACCATTGTAGTTAATTTTATAGGACTCATTCCAGTCTCCATTTGGTTTACAATCCTCCTAGGTGGCGTAATTTTCACGATTTACAAGGAATCAAAAAAGCCATTTACTGAGTCAAAACAGACAGTTCTCATCATTGGCACAATACTCTATGCATGTTACTGGGTTATGCTTTTGACTTTGTACATGGTTCTTATCAACAAATGTGGCAGGCGGAAGAAAGAGCAACAACACTACGACATGGTGCTAGACGTATGATGTTTCCGTGGGAAGTTACCCAGAGTTGTAAAGCAACCCAACGACCTTGTAGTATCTGTGGCATCAGACATATGTTGCCAAGGGAAATGGATCACTGCTGCTGGGAATAGGACACATATTCCTCTGGGTTCATTTTCATCCTGCCAAAGTAAGAAAAAAAAAAACAATTTTTTTTTTCCAAGGGGGGGGAAGACACAAACCACACAGTTTCGACCTGTTCGCAAGAAAATGGGAGAACTTCTATGTTTATGCACTTTTTTATTGTGCATACGCCTGACAGTGTTACGTTCTATATACCTCACTGGTCATGCTTATGTGTGTGGACAGACAGGAAAGGATTTTGGAGAATTTGGAAAAGGACCTTACAACCCCTTGCAACCTAATTTATGAACTTCTCTTTTTTTATAGTTCTGTTTATAGGAAGGGTCTTTTGTTTTAGGCTGCCAAATGTAATGCCAAAGGTAAATTTTAAGAGGCCATTGGCTGAGCTGTATTTTTATATTATTGTATTATTTGTGTGTGTGTATTTTTAAGCCAACTTTTTTTTTAAATCACATATTTTATATTTTACTATCTGCCAAAAAAAGCTGCCTCCCCAACATTTTGTTCTTTAGCCTTTTTAAATATATTTAGGGAAAAAAAATCATACTTTCTCACCTCAAATTTCTGCTGAAATGATATTGTTCACAACAGAAAAAATAAAAAGTCTCTGCATTTTTGCAACTAAAAAGTCTCTCTGCATTTTTGCAACTAATGAATGGTTATTTCTGTGAAAAAGCATTTAAATGTGCTCTTTTAAGACATTTATTAGGAAAGGCCCAACATTGTCAGGTTTTGCATACAAGCATATTTGTGCATAAAAAAGGCCAAAGGGGTAGATATGTGCAATTTGGGGTTTTTGTTTAGATAACATTGTAAAAGGGAAATTTGCTTCTCTGCTGAGAGCTTAATATCCCTGACATGCACAATAAACCATAAGGCAAGGAAGGCCTCTCTGCCACTGGAAAAGACATTGCTACAGGAAGACTCCCACTGATTTTATATAGGACTTGAGGAGTCAAAAACTTCTGATCTGGAATAATATTGGGCACCCAAAAGTGCTGTTGATTTCACTGATGGTTGTAGTTGTTAATAATCTGCTAGTACCAAGCAGATAGTTCAGATTTTTTATTTAAAAAAAATACACGGAAGGAAAAACTTATCAACACTTTCAAAATGTGTGTGGTGTACTATAAAATTTCTGCAGTGCCCTTCATATAGTTTACAGAAAATACAAACATCAGCTTCTCTGACATCCAGTGTAATACAGACCCCAGTACTGAGCCCAATCATTTGTGTTTGACTAGAGCATATCTACTAGAAAGGAAGCCAATTTTTTAATCAGAAAACACTGAGACTTAGCAAATTCATCACTTCCTTGGTGCCTAATAATCAGTCTTGGACATTTATTTTGGACCATGGTTTTGAGAAATAATATTCAGGACTAAATTCTGCAATCCTTCACCAGCCAAAGGAATGTGGCATTGAGCCTTAATATACTCTATAAAGAGCAACAGAAAGCCAGCTGCCCTTTTTAGATTCTGGTATTAAAAGCACTGTGGTAAAGCAGAAATCAGCATATGATGCTTAAAGAACTTAGAAGCGTTTTCAGCTTCTCTATTTTATGCAGACATGGATAGATTCTGCTGTAGAATGAACTGCACAACACTACCTTATTTGTCTGATTATCTTGAGGTACATGATTGCTTGAAAGGCATATTATGTTAATGATTGGAGATTTGATTCATGTTAATTACAAAATAGAACAGTATTAAAAAAAGCAAAAGAAAAGGTAAAAATAAAAAAAAACTTGGCTATGCCTTTTAACTATTTATGATGTAAGTTAAAGCTTGGGTTAACATTCAGACATCAAATAAATCTTCTCATTCTATAAAAAGATTGAATAAATTGCCTGTATTTATTCTAGCAATTATTCAATGTCCTTCCAGTATAGGTTGTATATTATAATTGCTACTTTCATAAATAAAATATTTTTGATAAGATCATGACTAATTCATGGTATTTCTCATCAGCACTCGCGCTTTGAAGCCACAAATCTGCACAGTTTGAAGGCTGTTGTTGTCATGTCACCAAGTGGGAATTTGCCATTGTACCAAGCCATCGAGCACTCATGGAATGTGTGCCTGAGGAAACCAGGGCTGGTCCCTGCTCTGAGAGGCAGCACAGTACATGGGGAGCACTCAGAGTCTCTGCCCACCTCTGCCAGCAGCTGCTAAATCAATTCGGTCAAAACACTTCCTTCCCTTTTTCCTCAGCTTCCTGATTTGTAAAACAGGAATAGCAATCCAACTTGCAATCCCAAGCAATCCTTTTGGGAAAGCACTTCGAAGTTTATGGCCAAAGTACTTTACATGAGAGGTGATGTTTTCCAACCCTCCTGCCCACTGAATGTTACCACCCTCCATAGTTGGGGAAGCAGAGGAGGACAAGTATGTGGCCTTCTGCTCCTCATTACTGCTGTTTGTCAAGCCCCCTTTGCCCTGACACAGCTGAAGTGCATGTGTATATTTTCTGTCACTGAGAGTTATGGGCAGCAGCCACTGACACAGGGACAGAGGGAACAAAGTGATACCTCATGCATCTCTCAGACCACAACAGGCTCATCACAGTTCAATTACGTAAGAGACAGCTTCTCAGCCCTCAGTGCTTGTTACTCCATGTCTACATACTGTGCCCAGTATTGACTTCCCCAGTACAGGGACATCATTGATAAATTGGGGCAAGTTTGGTCCAGGGACAGCGTGATAGTTTGAGCTGAAGGGTCTGAGAGAGCAGGGCTAATTAGGCTGGAGAAGGGATGGCTTTGGCAGGAGGACCCTAAGCCTCCCCAGTACCTGTAGGGAGGTTTTCAAGGGTATAGTTCTAGATCTTCACAGTGCTGCTTGGTGTGAAGATGAAAGAAAACAAGTTTGAGTGGAAAGGGCTGAGGTTTGAGGTTCAGCCTGGGTATGAACAGGGACTTCTTCCCCCTGAACACAGTCAGACATCTAAGCAGGTTGCCAGGACAATGCAGCCTCCGTCCTGAGAATGTTTCAAGACTAGACTAAATAACACTGAGGTGCCTGATCTGACCTCAGAGCTGCCCCTGCTTTAAGCAAGAGGTTCAGCTAGAGTCCTACACTACTTCTCCTGTTATCCTTTCTGAAGCAGGTGCTGACAGCTCCCACCCACACGGAAGTTCATTCTCATCTCTGTTCCCTGCACTGACCCCAGATACAAACAACTCAGCAGCAGCTGGTACTGAGTACCCAAAAAATCCGAGCCTGTCCTGTGACTATGTCACTCTCTTCACTGTGTTTGTGGCTGTTTAAAAAAAGGTTTCAGCAGAAAACTAGACTAGAAAACAGTTCTTGATTCCTCTTTTTCATTAATAGCAAATATATTTGTGAGATCTCTGTCAAAAGAAGAAAACATGTTAAAAGAAAAATTTGATCTTATCAAATTCATTTCGGACTTTTTTAAAAACACTGATTTTTTTTTTCATCTCTGATAGACAGATGGTGCTGAAAAAATTCCCACAAACTATGAATGCTATATAAAAGTCTAAAAAGAATCTTTTAAAAAATGCAATGAATTGGCAATACTTCAAGTTATAAAGCATTTCCATAGTAGAGTAATTTGGATCTGAGAGCATCTGTTTGCAGAGGTCAGGTGTGAGTCAAAACCTATGATAATCAGAGGTGCAGCAGGGAGAAGGACCCCTCCTGTTCTGTCTGCTAACAAGCTTCATTTTGGCCAAGAATCAGGTTTCTTTCAATGGGAAATGCATGAATATGTAGCAGAAATTTTCTAGGAGGCAGAAAAATTCCTGTCAGACACATACTGCCAAATATGTCCTGATGCACAAGCTGTTGAGAATCTGTCTGTTAAAATATTTGGTCTGAATTTTATTCTTAGCAAGAGATATGATGGTGAAAAGGAGACAAAAGCACTGAAAGCTGTTGATGTGGTTTGGTATTACTGACATTGAAGTTGGTATTACTTCTTTGAAGTTAAAATGATTATCTTAAATATAGTACAGTTTTCCCCTAAATTTTATTTGGCCTAAGTTTGCTGTTTCAGTTTTGTATCTGATGGATGGATGGATGGATGGGTGCCACAAATTGTTGCTGCTTCTTCCAGCTATGGAAGAAACATATTATACTTTATATAATATAGTATTCTGTCTCTGTCAAATAAATCCCACTTACTCTCCTAGAATAACACCAAGATTTCTATAAGTTACCATGACTGCATACAGGAAAATAACCTTGTAGTTACATTTAAAATAGATAAATGAGAGACCCAGGCCAAGTTTCTGAGCTTTGGTACATGATAATGCTCTGTACCGTTCAAGTGTAAATATAATCCATGGCATGTTTTTGCCATGGGCCAGAAAGTCCTGCCCCAGAAAGTGCTGGACACAGTGTGGATTGATATATGGAGCAGGAATCAGCCTGGTTTGGGAGACCGTAGAGCTTAGGTGTGATCCCTGTCATCAGTTGTTCTCAAGATTGACAATATCCCTGGCTTTTTTTTTCACTGGATTGTGTGTAATATCAATACCCCACCAAGGAGGACAATGCTTATTCTCTCAGGACGTCTACAGATGTGTTTAGTTCTGCAGCTCTTGAAAACACCTTTCTTTTTTCCTTTCCTTTCCTTTCCTTTCCTTTCCTTTCCTTTCCTTTCCTTTCCTTTCCTTTCCTTTCCTTTCCTTTCCTTTCCTTTCCTTTCCTTCATGCATTTTCTAATCCCTTTGGTCACGAGCAGGAAGCAAAAAAAAACACTACCCAGGGTGTAGGACCCACTGAATTAATACTTCCATCACTTCTTTTACATGGCTTCCATGGCTTCCCTGCTGGGCTGACTTTCTCCTGGTACTTCAATTTGCTCCAGGTGGGACACACCCTGTAGAAATGAAATGGTTATGACAGAACTTTTTTTGGCTGCTTCTTACAAGTGTCAGTGAGAACAGAAAGCATTAAGAGCTTGCCCGTGATCAGTGCCGTTTTATATAACGGAAGAGGGTGACATCTGGAATTTAACATTATCACTCACATTATTAAGGAACCCACAGAAAAAGCATGTGCAAGAGTGACAGCTAGCAAATGAGTCACAGGAAATTAGATTTTGGTAGTTTCTCTGCCCATATAATTATCTATTTCATATTCTTTATGAGTGAAATCAGCACTTTTTACTATGCCTTGACCCTACAGCACTTTGGGGACACATAGAACACCAGAGCCATGAAGAACTGAGATGAATGTGACTAAAAATACTTTAAATGGGTAGCTTGCTCCAAATTAATTACGAGATTGTGGCCTGTGTATGCTCTTCAAAATTGCTCTTTAGCTTTCCATACTGATTCTTTTTAATGAATGTATCTTATAGGCTGCACCTATCTAGTGAGTTGATGCTGCAGACCACCAGTGATTTCCATCTGCCCTCATTATTCATGGCCTTCCACAAAAATTGCACAGCATCTTTTCAGCATGGGTTGGTCCTGACCTGGATTCTGCCAGCATCTATGATATCTGGAAAACCATGACAGTACTTATAAATGTCTTAGAAGACATTTCAGTATCAAAAATAAAGTCT